CTGGATTTTGACTTTTATTTAAAATTATCAATCTGTAATTTCATGAGAAATTCATATATAATACTCTCCCTATTCAAAACTATAAGGTATTTTTTAAAATGTTAAATGTTAAAAAATACAAGTATTTTTAATCTTTCGAAATGTAATCATTGTCATAACGGTTAAACTTTTGAATTGATTTTATGAGTTTAATATTTTTATATTTTCAGCTTACAAAATTATGTTAACTTACTCATAAACTCAGATTAAATATAAACTTGATTAAACTCGTGAGTTCACATTGAAGTTTACCATTTTTATATTTCTCACTTACAAAATTATATCAACTAATTCATAAACTCAGACTTAATGTAAGTTTGATTAAACTTGTTAAGTTTGTCATTTTATTGAGTTAAGTGAATTAAGTTTATATTATAAAGAATTCAGTTCATAAAATTATGGGACTTGGTTTAAAAAAAAACTTGAAATGCAAAAACTAATATTAATAAAAAAGAAAACAAAAATATCAAAAATAAGTTCCCCTATTTTAAAATTTTTAGGTTTTGTATATGATAATTTATTCATGTAGATGGGATTAATTCAATAATTTATATTTTAATATATTTAAATTAAATTATAATTATATTTTAATGATTATTTGTTAATAAAGGTAAACTCTTATAAATTTACGATCTAAATTTACAATACAAGTTTATATTTTTATCACGAATTTACTTAAACTAACGAGTTTAACAACATTAATCATTGCTTTTTTTTTAAAAAAAAATTTTTATTGATAATAATTTTATATTTATTGTAAGGTGTTTAATGAGAGTAAATATGAAAAGATAGAATTAGTTAAAAATTAAATAATTATTTTATTAATGAATGAGATTTGATTAAAAATATTTTATATTTTTAAATAGAGAGAATATAAGTTAAAAGCAAGAGTATTGCATTTATTTCTACCTGTTTGACAGTGACTGCAGAAATTTTACTCACTATAGTATCAATATCACATGAGTAATTTTTTTAATACAAGTGTTTGACTCAAGACAAAAAGAAGACCGAAAAGGTCAGTCATAATGGGCATTTTACCCAAAATACATATAAAAATATATTAAACTTTTGCTATTACTAGAGGCTTAATCATTAGCCTTGCCTCATTCAACATCCAAATCATGAGCAGAGTGACCAAATGTACAAGGGCAAAAGATATTGCAATTATTTAACTTATCTGACAATAATTACAATAATATTATCCAGACTCAAATTACGTTATTGATATGAAAACATTTAGTGGGGAATGTATAGATATTTCTGTAAGTATAATTTAAATTTAAAAGCTTGCTCCAATCCCAAGGATGGATTTAGAACCTAATGAACCCTAGAAATCCAATTCACTCATACTTGTTGTCACTAGAAAAACCATGACATCAACGGTTGCGTTTGTTGCATGCATTTTAGCATTTTTACCTGTTTCTTCACAATGCATTAAACTTTTTTATCCTATTTATTATATTGTCAAGGAAGATAAACTAATTTAATTTCTCCATTTTCTTCTGTTCTCATACAACATTTTTATCTTCAGGCAACAGTTTTTTCGGGGAACAATTATAAAAATGTTGTCTAAAATATGAATAGTGGATAGTTTTTAAGTGATCTCTTGCCTCCATTTTCATCATATATTTTCCTCTATATTCTTCCTTTTATCAGTCACACGTTGAAACAATGTTATTCAATGCTGGTAATTAGGATATATATATATATATATATGTTTGTTTGTACAACTATTGGCTTCTTAATATTGATAATCATATTGATTTATTATTACATCCACTATTTTTATTTTACTTTTGTATTTTTAGTTGAGTTGATGACCTAAAAAAATTTGACTTGTAAGTTTACTAAATGGCTATGTTTGATCACTTTGAATTGACCAAAAAAGAAACCGAAACAAAATTGGAATCATGAAGTTTTGGTTTTAATTTTTGTTAGTGATTGGGTTGTTAAATTTTGTTATGAAGGGGTGAGCTCTTTTGTTTGGGATTTTGGTCCTCTTCTGATCCCCATTTAGCCAAGCTTCTTGAATTAGATGTTCTTAATATGTCTAATGACTCAATTTTAATCAATTAATTTTTCTTCTGGTAGAAAAAAAAAAACAAGAGTTAAAATTGACAAAGCTGGGTTATGGTTTGAACATGTAATGGACTTAGGTCTTGTGGTGTATATGTTTTAAATACACATATTAAATAAAATTATATTAGAATTCTATTTATATACTGAATATATTTTCAAAGTTTGATTCTATTTTAATTTCAATTCTGATTTTAACCAATTTCTTAAAAATTCTTCTGACATACCAAATGAGGTCTCCGTCTTGGTGAGAACTTTTTGTTTTTGGGCTAATAATGAGAACTTAATTTGATGTTGCTTCTTTTTAAGTGTCCAATTGCACACATTCAACATTTCAATGCATGATTTAATTAACTTGCATCTGGTGCTGTATTAACTGAAGTAATTGATTAGAGCAGTGTTGAAGAATCGAATAAGAAAATTGACTCGGCCGGGTTTTGATTGTTATTAATTTGTGTGTCAAAAGGCTTTGTAGGTTAATTTAAAGTTGTGTTTTGAAAATCTTTAGGATAAGATTTTTGTAAGATTATCCATGAAAAATAACAGAATATCTTTTATTTTAAAACATCCTAGTTCTTTCTTTTGGTTATTTATCTTCACTTGAGTTTTTCTTGTGACAAGTTTTATTTTTGTCCTAGAAGTTTATTTAGTTGTAACATAATCCTTTATTTATCTTATGTTCCTTTTTCCTTTTAGCGTCACTAGGTGTGAATTAAATTAAAATATTTAAGAAAAATAATGTAGGACCTGTCAAGAAAACAAAATTAAATTATTAATAAAACTAGAGAGATTTGAAAATAAAAATAAAAATATAGCAGTAAAATTTTGGATGAAATAACCATGAAAACTAATGGGATGAAAATAACATGAAAGTAAGCAAGATTTCATCCGAAGATTTGGAAACTAAATTTATAATATAATCCATCCGTTTTTATGTATAAAAAAAAAGCATATATAATATAATTTTAAAAAAATCAATTAATTATAATAATTATGTCTGAAAATAAAATAATTAAACTAAAATGCTGTATTAATAGGACAACCATCGCTTGATCCCAGGTGCGTATGGCATTAGTATTAACGCAAGGACCATACATAGGCTGAGTAGGTCCTTTGACTAACATTCATCGTCCCTCATGACATTGGCAAGCCTCATGACCCAACATACCACGATGATAGAAAATTATAGAAAGTTTCTCATATTGAACCTCCACCCATAAATCAGACAAACATGGTCTAGGGACGAAAAACTCAACAACAGTAGGCTTTTGAATATCAAGCAATGGACGAGCACGAACAAAGCTCCTCAGCACCTGCCCTCTAGCATTGGCTCCTCAAGAAGAACTAGTTCAATGGCTAAGCAAAGGCACAAAGCATTATTTCAATCTAATAACTACCATATGAACGTTGCAAAATTGAACCAAAATAGAGCAGAAATTAAAATCCAACTCCCTCAGCGGTCTTATTGGAGGCCATTCTTGAAGATTCAAAAGCGTCCCTTAAGGATGCACAGATAATCTTCCTCTTTGTTAAACCTGTAAGTAATATCTAACCCACCAGCATCCTAATATCTAGACGTTCTTGAATACCCCCAATCTTTGTGAATTAGCTCAATTATCATCACCTTGTTCATCTGTTTAGGAAAAATTTTTCAGCTATCAACCTCCTAGTTAATATTCACTCGAACCCAACTCCATCTGACAGTTGAGCAAAGATATTTACCGCAGTCCCTTATACCTCCAAACCCCCAAACACTATCTATCAAAATAAGACACTACTGAAATACCTCACAATCCACTTCAAAAAGACAGAAAGAAAAACACTGAAGCATGCCCACTACCAGAAAATATCACTCAAAACTAGAAACAAAAACCCCGAAACCCTATTGGTCACCCAAGGTGAGAGAAAAACTCTCGCTAGACAAAAGAGAACTTACAGTGGCAACAGCAGCGATCTGGCCACTAACAATGACTTTGATGAAAAAGTAGTGAGTTTAAAAAAATAAAAAGGTATTTTAATAAATTAAATATTGGCGAATGATATTAAAGTTTCAAAATAAAAAAGTTTACGAAAATTGGATCTTTAATAAAATTTTCCAAAAATCAAATACAAATATTGATCTAGACAACTTTTTTAATACATGGTCACAAGAAACTCGTGGAAGGAGAAAAATTATCCAATCACATAAAAAATACAAGATAATTCTATAGCCAGTAAGCAGCTCATTAAAGATAGTTAAGTCAAGATTATCATAAGATATTTGGTGAGCAATTGGCATATTTATTTGTTTTTTTTTTTTTGAAAACATGGTCCAACGTAATTGTGAAATCTTTCACAATGAAATCCTTGATCTTCTCATTATGATTAGAATGAAGACAATTCAAATAGATTTAAATTTAGGAGTTTTAATTATAAAATTTAAATTATAAATATAACTCATAATCTACAATTACAATTCCTATTTACAGCTATTTAAAATTTTAAATCAATATTTATAATTTTTTTAAAAATTGTGAGGAGACATAACTAATATTAATTTTATAGTTTAGGACTTTATTGTCATTCCTCCAGCGAATATCAAAATTTATTTTCAGGTTTAGGAGATGTAAGTGATACTCTCTTTATTTAAAAATGTAAAGCATATTTTGAAAAATTAAATATTAAAAAATATAAGGCATTTTTGATCTTTTAAAGTATAATTATTACCTTTTTAAAAAAGATATTTCTATTAATAATAATTTTATATTTATTATAAAATATTTAATAGAGATAAATATAAAAAAATAAAATTAATTTAAAAATAAGTAATTATTTTATTAGGGAGTGAAATTCAATTAAAAATATGTTGTATTATGTGATGAATGAATTATTGTTTCAAAGAAAACATGGATCTTGTGCTTGCCACGTGGCAGCATCAGGATGTGGATTTAGATGACACTCTCCATGTGCTTGCAGAATTAGATTTCGTTGGAGCATTTAAGATGGGAAGAACCAAGAACTCGGAGAAGCTGTAGTTTTCAGAGACACGGGCCTCATTTATGATTTATGTCTTCTCCGACTTCCAACCTCTTGTGCTGTGAACCCATGTTTTTCTCGCTTCTTCCAACCACAGTATCCCCTTCGCCTTGAATTCTTCGTCACTTCTTTCTCTTCATCCATGTCGGCATGTCGCTATCGGTCTTCCCGTTAAAAGCTTCTCTCCCATCTTCTCCGTTTTCAAACATTTCCTCCAAGATTCATTCGTTCGTTCGCAGTCACTGAGAGCTCAGAAAGCCAGCCCCTCATTTCTTAATTAACTTCTCTTCCAGGTTTCTGCAGTATCACAATTCGTCTCAGTTCAGTTGGGTGGCTCGTCTTCTTTCTTCTACTTCAAGTGAGTCGAATTTTTCAGTGTTGATCAAATTAGGTATTGTTTTCAGCAATTTGGGATATTTTTATACTTTGGAACTCGTGCCTTTTCAGACCATTTTTCTCCGCGTGTGTATTTGTCTACGAGTGTTTAAAGCTGGTCATCTCAGAATTTGCCCTATTTGCTTTTTCTTTCTCAGTTGGGTTCAGCGTTTGGTGGGAATTTTTTTCCTCTAAATTATTCCTGTACTTCTTTCCTTTTATGCTTTCTGTGGGCAAGTGTGTGTAATGTGCTTGTACTTTTCAACTTTAATGTATGCGATGAAATGCCTTTTTGTGCTTCTTGAAGGTAGAACTTTCTGTGCTTTACTTATTGCCAAATTCAGATTGATAATATTAAAAATAACTTGTGGTTCTATTTCATTGGGTTTTGCTCTATGCTCTACTGGTAAAGCCACAGGATCTTGTGGATTTCTTTATTTTATTTCTTGTTTCACTTAAAAAATTGTTTTTTCTTGTTTGATTATCCAATTAGCCGGACTATACAGCTTATTTTATTCTGCTCATAAAAGTTGCTGATGAGAAGTCAAAGTCTGGCATCTAACTGGGTATCTGATATTGATTTTGTTCTTTACAAAATCTGAAATTAAATTCTCTTCTCTCTTGTTACACAGATTTCCCGTTTGCTTAGCCATGAATTTTCCTGGTTGGAATTTTGAGAATGATGGCTGTGTCACCAATCAAAAGAAGTTCATGGGGTGTGTGTCATCTATATCTATCAAAGCAGAGTATTGTTGTTCTCTCAAAACTCTTCGCTTTAATCATAATTCCCTCTGGCAAATTCTACAGGTCGGGCCAAGAACTTGTGGAGCTGATATGGCAAAATGGACAGGTAGTTACGCACAGCCAAACGCAAAGAAAACCAGTTGCGACTTCTATCGACTCGAGACAGTTCCAGAGAGATGATCAATCAACAATCAGGGCTAATGAATCGTATGGGAACTCAAGCCATTTGATTCAAGAAGATGATGCAGTCTCATGGATTCAATATCCACTTGAGGATCCATTGGAACAACAACTCTGTTCAAGCATATTATCTGAACTGCCATCCTCTGGGTTTGAGTCTGACAAGCCAATAAGGCAACTCGAAGAGGGAAAGTATGTCAAATTCGGCCCCTACAGTGCCTGCCATGTGACTACAAGTTCACAAACACCAAATCTAAAGCCCTTTTCTCAGGAATTCTCAGGAAATCCTATGCCTGCTCCAAGAGTTCATTTTCCTGATTCAACGCTGAAAAAAATTAGTCTTGGCGGATCACAAAATGTCGTCAATTTTTCTCAGTTTTCAAAACCCTCCAAAGTAGCCTCAACATCTTCTAATGCACAGTCTGAAGATGAAGGTAATTGTAATCTATTGAAAAACAAAGGTAAAGAGTGCTCGGTCGTGACAGTGGGTTCAAGTCACTGTGGCAGCAACCAAGTTCCTCTAGATCCTGACATAAGCAGGGCATCAAGCAGTGGGGTTTGGACTACTGCTTTGTATTCTGAAACTGAGCCCCAGAAGGATGGTGTCCAGAAATCAATTCCTCAGTGTGAAAAAGGGAAGTCAGAGGTGCTTGAACCAACTTTGAGTTCATCATCAGATGACTCAGGTAGTCTTGCAAAAACATGCTCCTGGTCTGTAAGAAACCACGGCCAAAAAAGGAAAAGGATAGATGCAGAAGAATTAGAGGAACAAAGTGAGGTGAAGCCCTTCTCTCCATTCATCTTCATGATTAAATGCTTGTCTTTTGTTTTTGCACCTGACCTATTTCTCTATGTATAATACAGGCCACAGAACCCAAATCGGCTGTTGAAAACAAGGTAGCTCAGGGGACAAGGCCTTGCCGAAGGAACCGTGCAGCTGAAGTGCATAATCTCTCAGAAAGGGTTAGGGCTTGGTACTTTATCGGAAAGCTGAGCTTGGTGATTTTAACTCTAACCATTACATTGTTACTAATGCAGAGACGAAGAGATCGGATCAATGAGAAGATGAGGACATTGCAACAACTCATACCTCATAGCAACAAGGTTGATTTTCATATGCCTATTGACTTGTTAATCTCTTCTTAATGGATTGTGTTGAAGATGCATGCGTTCAGATTCAGAAATAACGGACTGCTGGATTTATTTTGGTGCATTAAGTGAAGAAGGCATAAAACATGTTTGGCAGGTGAGGGGGAAGAGAAGGAACGTAGAAGCTAGAAGGAGAAAGATCTTGTTGAGTTAATTATTAAAGGATTCATAATGCCCCACCCCTCATCTTTATAAAAGAAATAAAAAGTGGTCAAAATTTGTGAAAAAAAAATAACTATCTAAACCTGTTTGTTTTGTTTAAAATGATTCTCTTTTGCATGTTATCCAATCATAGAGGTTTGCTAATTGGAGCAATGGCTCATTTGCAGACAGATAAAGCATCAATGTTAGATGAGGCAATCGAGTACTTGAAATCACTTCAGTTACAACTTCAGGTACAAATTGCACTGAAGAATGTGCCAGTGGTAATTGTCTTTACATTGATAATTTGGTAACAACAGATCGTTTCATTCTCGTTTCTAGGTAATGTGGATGGGAGCTGGAATGGCACCAATGATGTTTCCAGGAATTCAGCACTATATGTCCCCAATGGGCATGGGAATGGCTTCGCCCTCTTTTCCTCCTATTCCAAATCCGGTGCAGTTACCAAGAACATCACTTGATCATTCCATATCTATGGCTCAGACGCCGAACCAGGGTTTGATGCATCAAGCTCCTGTTATGGGTCCTTTTACTTATCAAAATCAGATGCAAAATCAAGCTTTCTCAGAGCAATACGCACGTTATATGGGGTATCAATTTATGCAAAGTGCCTCTCAGGTTTTGGTTTCTTCCAAATTAACCCCTAAATTCTTTTTGAAAAAAGAACAAAACTTCAACACCTTTTTGATTTCTCATGGTATTCCTGTTAAAACCTCCATCTTGTTCCCGTTCGAATAAATTTCCATTTAATTTCCTTCTATCTTTGGTCTTGTAGCCGATGAATGTATTTAATTATGGATCTCAAGTACAACATAGTCAAACAATGATTCCACCCAGCAGTAGCAGTGAACCCTTGAATGGAGCTGCAAATAATGATGTTAATTTAAGTGGCAAGATGGGTAAGCCATTTACATACTTCTAAATTCCTTGACCGCATCAATTATATGGAAAAATTTTGCCTGTTGCATTTAAGTAAATAGTTGCAAAACTTCATGTAGCCAGCACATGAAAATTTTCTCTAACAACTACTGATGCTTTAAATTGGACACAGATATCTTCCCCCGGCAAGTCCTTGTCCTAAAATTCTTCAAGCGTATCTTTATTGATAGCATTATAATTCTAAACTGCAAGCAATGCATAGTGACTGAGACAAATGTTTCTGGCAGATGCTTTACCTTCAATCAACATGGCTCAACATTGACTGGCTGCTAGATTCTTCCTTAGTTTTCCACTTTCAGATTTATATTATTAGCCAGATATAGGTTATCTTTGTGAAGTTCCATTGCTTCAATAGCTAGCAGATAAACTTCTTTTGAGTGTCTCATTTCAGTACTATTTGAATGCATTTATTACTCAATAAAATTTCCATTCCATTCATCAGTTTTGTCTTTTGTTGGGTCCACTTGTGCCTTGAGCATTCTCATTCCATAAAATTTCACTGACAGTTTTGCGTTGTTCATTGTTTACAGGTTTAACTAGTTTATGAGCATGCTTATCGAAATCTACTGTGTAATTAATAAGACAAGCAGGACAATACAGGCCAGCTCATGATTTTCAGTATCTGTGCCTACTCAACTAAAATACTTGAATATATAGCATTTCTTCACAGGACTGACAAGTCACTCTTGTTTGTCCGTCGGTGACTCTACGTATTTCTCCAAAGCGAAGTGGGAATTGTAATAAGCCCAGAAAATCCATACCTGTCATGCCATTCATGGATGTAATGACAGGAATGAAGAAACTAGTTTTGGTTAAAATGGCTATCTCCAAAAAAGATTGCTCGTGTCCTCAAAGTCTTCCAACCATAAGATGGCTCTATTTTTGCAAGTGATGATAGGTGAAGGCCAAGGGTCCCACTCCCGCTTGGCTTTGAAGACTGGTGCTGTGAGCCGCTCATTGTTAACTTTGAAAAGTTCTGATGAGAGCTGTAGGGACCCGCCGTTTGATGTAGACAACTAGATTAATTGGGTCTCCTTTCTATTTTCTTTTTCATTCCTCACAAATTTGTCCCACAGTGCTAGCATGTAGTGACGCTGGCTCGGGATTTCGCTAATAGCATAATTTATATCATCATGAGTTTGAAAAGACTGGCACTGCATGTTTTGTTGCTTTATTTTTATTTGGTGTTTTAGGAAAGTCAAATTAAATTATTATAAAACAAGTTATGTTATCCTATAGTTAATGTTGGGCTTTAATAAGATAATAAAAACATAAAATTAGAGTAATAAATATGAGAATGGTGAGATAAATATGTGAGTATGCACGTAAAAATAAAATTTAAAATGAATATATATGAGAAAAAATGAGTATAATATCTATTAACAAAAAAATGTTATAAAATAGTTTAAGATGGTTTAAACACGTATAAAGAAAATTATGGGAGGCATTAATGAAGAGAGTAAAATGAATAATTTTGAGTGTTATTAAGAGAAATAAGATAAGATTAAAGAGAATATTTGTGAAAGTTGTTGATTATAACTTTTTGTAGCAAATAGACCGAAAAACTCTTATTATTGAATCCCAGAGTATGTACACTGATTTATACATGTGAGAAGATGATCAAATCTCCAAGAAATCAGGAGATGGAATCAGGAGAGGATATTCGGGAATAGGATATCTACAAAATCCCTATTTTTACTCCTCACAGTATCCCCTTTATTAATAAATAATATTTACATTAAATATAGGTCAACCACACTCCCCCTCAAGTTGGATCATAGATGCTAATCATGTCCAATTTGCTTATACAACTATCAAATGCTGGCTTGTGTAATCCTTTGGTGAGTACATCAGCAGCTTGAAGCTTTGTTGGTATGTAGACAAGGCACACAATTCCTTCTTCAACCTTTTCCCTTATAAAATGTCTATCAATCTCCACATGTTTGGATCTTTCGTGTTGAACTGGATTTAGCGCCATACTTATGGCAGCCTTGTTGTCACAGTACAACTTCAGTGGAAGATCAGTCTTGACGTATATCTCATCTAGTACTCGCCTTACCCATAGTACCTCTGATATACCTTGGGCCAACGCCCTTAGTTCTGATTCTGCACTACTCCTTGAGACCACTCTTTGCTTTTGACTCTTCCATGAAACTAGGTTTCCCTATACACATGAGCAGTAGCCTGACGTTGATCTCTTATCCTTGTATGTTCCTCCCCAATCTGCATCTGTGTAGATTTCTATTGATCGTAGACTTTGCTTCTTGAACAATAATCCTTTACCTGGTGTCCCCTTCAAGTACCTTAGGATTCTGTATACAGCTTCCATATGCCTTTCTCTAGGGTCACACATATACTGGCTTGCCACACTTACTGCAAAAGTTATGTCTGGTCGAGTATGAGAGAGATAAATCAGTTTCCCAACTAGCTTCTGGTATCTTTCTTTTTCCACAGGCTCATTCTTCTCTCCTTCTTCTTCACAATCATTTTCCTCAGGTTCAACTTCATCTTCTTGATTTTCCATATCTTTCATTAATTTCTTCCCCTTCTTCTTCACAACAATAGGGGTCTCTACAGGTTTACATCCCAACATTCCTGTTTCAGTAAGCAAGTCGAGAACATATTTTCTTTGAGACATATAAATCCCTTTTTGTGATCTTGCAACCTCCATGCCCAGAAAGTATTTCAAGTTACCAAGATCCTTCACTTCAAATTCCTTTCCAAGAGCCTTCTTCACTCTATCTACCTCTTCCTCATAGTCACCTGTGACAATTATATCATCAACATATACAATGAGAATACATCTCTTACCACCTTCCATTTTTACAAACATTGTGTGATCAGACAATCCCTGCTTATATCCTTCATTCTTCAAGACTTCTGAGAATCTGTCAAACCAAGCCCGCGGTGATTGTTTTAGGCCATACAAGGATTTCTTAAGCTTACACACTTGATTGTTCTTTCCCGCCTCAAAACCTGGAGGTAGTGTCATGAAGACTTCTTCCTTAAGGTCACCATTTAGGAAGGCGTTTTTAATATCTAGCTGCTGGAGAGGCCAATCCAGATTTACAGCCACAGAGATTAGGATTCTGATAGTATTAAGCTTGGCTACAGGGGCAAAAGTTTCTTTGTAGTCCAAGCCATATGTTTGGGTGAACCCTTTTGCCACTAACCGTGCCTTTAATCTGTCCAACTTACCAGCAGCATCATATTTTGGGGTGAACACCCACTTGCAGCCCACAACCCTCTTCCCTTTTGGTAGCTCTACAACTTCCCATGTGCCATTTTTTGTTAAAGCATTCATCTCCTCTATCACAGCATTCTTCCAATCTGGTATGCTAAGGGCCTCATATACATCATTGGGAATCTTCACTTTATCAAGGTTAGTTACAAAAGTGCGGAATTGTGAGGATAGAGTCTGATAGCTCACAAACCTTTGGATGGGGTGCTGTGTACAAGTTCTGGGTTGTTTTCTGAGGGCTATCGGTAAGTCTGTCTCCGCTTTCCCAGCTTCAGGAGCCTCTTGTGGTTCGAATTCTGGTTGTGCTTCAGGTATAACAGTCTCCCTTTCTCGCCATTTCTTCCTAGAGTAGACTATGGGTGTCTTTTCCAGTGCATTTCCAGCAATTTCAGTGCAATCTGAAAGACCTTTTACTTCAGTTTCTGGCCTAGGAGATTGGACCCTGAATTCGGTGGACTGTGGGTTTAAGAGTTCAGACTCTATTTGAGAGTTTGTTGGTGCAAGAATGAAGGGATCAGAATCATGAATGGTGGTGATTTCTTTACCCCTTTGCCTCTCACTTTCACTTTCCAAAAACTGAAAGTCACTCCCCCTCTCCCCCTGACTTGAAGTGTTTGGGTAAAAGGACTCATGCTCAATAAAGCTAACGTCTCGGCTTATGTAAAGTTTCTTGGTATGAGGATCAAAGCATTTATACCCTTTTTGTGTAGAGGAATAACCAAGAAAGATACATTTGATGGCTTTAGGGTCCAGCTTTTGGGAGTGATGGGAGTGAACATAAGTGGAACAACCAAAAATTTTAAGTGGTAGGTTGGTGTCAAGATGAGTAATGGAGTGAGATTCTTTTAATTTCTCAAGAGGTGTGGTAAATGAGAGGACACGACTTGGCATGCGGTTGATTAAATATGTAGCGGTAAGAATTGCATCTCCCCAGAAATATTTGGGAACGTTATAAGTGAAGAGCAAGGCACGTGCAACTTCTAAGAGGTGTTTGTTTTTCCGTTCCGCAATACCATTTTGTTGGGGAGTGTTAGGACAGGTACTTTTATGGACAATTCCATGTTCTGTGAGGAACATATCCATGGTTTTATTAAAGTATTCAGTGCCATTGTCAGTATGGAGGACTTGGATTGTGGTGTCAAACTGGTTTTTTACCATTGTATAAAATTGAGAAAAGACAGAGGGCACAGCAGATTTATCTTGTAATAGGTAGACCCAACACATTCTAGTATGGTCATCAATAAATGTAATGAACCATTTAGTATTTGTACGATTAGCAATACGAGTAGGACCCCATAAGTCACTATGAATAATGGAAAAAGGACGGGTAGATTTATATTCAACAGGTTTGAACACAGATCTGTGATGTTTAGCAAGTTCACACTCAGCACAGTGAAATGAAGAAATTTTATTAACTTGAAATTCAAGAAACAAACGACATAAGTATTGAAAATTTGGATGACCCATTCTCCTATGCCATAACATAAGATCATTAAAGTCTTTATTTGCAATGTGACACTGGATTCGAGACCAAAGACTACTCACGGTTGATTCATCGAGATAGTAGAGACCGTTATGCTCCTTAGCACTGCCAATCATCTTCCCCGATAAGAGGTCCTGAAAAATACAATGAGTAGAACAGAAATGAGCCCAGCAATTTGCCTCTTTAGTCAACTTACTTATAGACAATAAGTTACAAGCCAAGTAAGGTACATGTAAAACATGATTCAGTCTCATGACTTTAGAAATAACCACACTTCCTGTTCCTGCTATTGACGAGGAAGATCCATTAGCTGTACTTACTGTTTCATTCCCAGCGCTAGGAATATAGGTATTGAATAGTTTAACATCTGAGGTCATATGATCAGTTGCCCCAGTATCAACAATCCATTTGGGGTTACTATTAGAAGTAAGTAAGGCACATTTACCTTTGTGAGCCACAGACGCAGTAGGATTCAGTTTCTGGTTTTTCTCATTCTTCTGCAACACACTAAGCATCTCAAGTAGCTTACCTAGTTGCTCCTTATCAATTTCAGGTATTGAGTCTGGTTTATCTGGCGGTACATCATGAGAAGTTTGATAACTTCGTTGCTTGCCCTTTTTCGGCTTCCAATCGGCTGGCTTTCCATGTATATCCCAACAAGTGTCACGGGTATGCCCAATCTTCTTGCAATGTTCACAAGTGACCTTCCCCTTT